CCCCCCCCAAAAAAAAAAGCCAAACAACTTTCTTTTTTTTAGGTCTCCAGATTTTATGCAAAAAAAAATGATAATGCAGTTGTTCTTCATTGTCATTATGTATGTTTATTGTGTTGATTAAGGCTACAAATGCAACAGAAATAATATTTATTACCTTAATTAAATTGTGGTTGCTGGTGTTTGTTGATGATTGTGAAGGAGGGAGTGGAGAGGCATGCTGAGGCCCATCTGGGTTGGGGTGGAGGGTAGGCCAGTCAGTAAGTCAGTTCAGTCAAGTGAGTCAGTAGGTCAGTACAGCCATTAAATTCAGTAGGTCACTCATTCAAGTCAGTAAGTCACTTATTCAAATTCAAATTCAGTTTATTCTCTATAAAGATTACAGTGTTGAATTTACAGAATTTGGTTGTTGTGTGGTTTACATGTAGTTAAATAATGATTACAGAGTGTACCACTAGAACGCCTAGCATGGCTAGGCATTTCGGGCAGACTTAGTTTAATTCTTTATTTTAAAATATTACAAATTATGAGGTAAGTTGGCATTATGGCTAAGTGACTAAATACTAGTTTGTGAGTTTAGCAATGTGAATGCTTTTGTTTTGGCACAGTACACAGTTTCAGTATTGGAGTATCATAGGATTCATTATTTTAAGATTGAGATTAATATTTCTGTTTATAGTCAAATTGGTGAGTGAAAGTGTAAGTGTGAACCAAAAGGTGGTATTCGTGTAGTTAGTTGATGGGGTTTATCAGGGAGATAAGATGTTTTCTAATGGTAGTTTTGAAGGTGATGAATGTGTCTGCAGTTCTAGAGTTCTCAGGTAGGGTGTTCCAGATTTTAGGGCCTTTGACATACATTGAATTTTTGTAAAGGTTTAGTCGGACATGGGGAATGTCGTAGAGATGTTTGTGTCTGGTGTTATGCCTGTGGGTTCTGTCACAACTATCAAGAAAGCATTTTAGGTCAAGGTTGATATTGGAGTTTAAGGTCCTGTAGATGTAGATTGCACAGTAGTAAGTGTGGATGTACTGAACAGGGAGTAAGTTTAGATCTATGAAGAGTGGGGGGTGTGTTGCCAGGGATGGGATTTAGTGATTATTCTTACTGCAGCTTTTTGTTGGGTTATTATTGGCTTTAGGTGTGTTGCTGCAGTTGATCCCCAAGCACAAATAGCATAGGTGAGGTATGAATAAATAAGTGAGTGGTATAGTGTGAGAAGGGCATGTTGCGGCACATAGTATCGTATCTTGGAGAGGATCCCAACTGTTTTGGATACTTTTTTGGTTATGTGTTGGATATGGGTGCTGAAATTCAGGTTGTCAAGGTATAGGCCTAGGAATTTGCCCTCATTATGTCTGGTAATTAGAGTGTTGTCGATCTTAATGTTAATTTGTGCATCTCCTGCTCTGCTACCAAACATAATATAGTAGGTTTTGTCAGTGTTAAGCGTAAGTTTATTGGCTGTCATCCAAGTCGATTCAAGTCATTCAAGTCAGTCGAGTCATTCAGTAAATCAGTCAAGTCGGTAGGTCAGTCAAGTCAGTAGGTCAGTCAAGTCATTCTATAAATCAATCGGTCAAGTCAGTATGTCAGCCAGTCAAGTCAGTAAATCAGGTCAGTCTTTCATTCATTCAGTAAATCAGTCAAGTCATTCAGAAAATCATTAAATCAGATCATTCAGTAAATCAGTCAACAAAATCAGATCAGTCAGGAAGTCATTCAGTAAATCAATCAAGTCAGTAAATCAGATGACAGCCCAGGTTATTCATTGCACAAGCTCTTATATTTGCTTCACTCTTTTTAATCATATGAACTGATGCTTCATTAAGGCCATAAGCTCTCGCCATGTCCACCACACAGGCACCACATTTAAGCTTATCTAATATATCTTGATTTTCTTCATAATTTCAAGACTTGAACTTTTTTCACTTTGTCTTGTCACTTCCTGCATCACTTGCATGCCTCTTGGGTGCCATGGTTCCTCAGCAGATGCAGTGTTTGGTAATGAAAAAACCAAAACTTGATTCACAAACAGTGCTGGGTACCACAATGGACATATATATCGAGCACTAGTGTGGAGGTGGCAGGGCCTTCCCCCGTAAAAAACAATGGCTTGACCCACAGGCAGACTGCCTAGCGCTCACTATACAGAGGGAAAGATTTCCAGCTTGCGGTGCTGAATTTCTTTTCCCTACCAAGAAGCAGAACCGTTTAAATTTAATTTAACGAAGTGAAAAACGAAAATATGTCGTAATTTGACAATAGCATAATGGAGAAAACATTTTATAGGAAACCCTTTTAACCGACAGTCTACTGTATATGTTTTTTGAGCGTATTAGATAGGAGTGACTGGAGACGAATGTTTTTTGGGACCTGACAAGCTGTTGGAGTGTGAGCAGGGTAATATTTTGTGGAGGGATTGAGGGAAACCAGTTAGCTGGACTTGAGTCCTGGAAATGGGAAGTACAATGCCTGCACTTTAACCCTTTCAGGGTCCAGAGGCCAAATTTCAAAGTGTGCACCAGTGTCCAAGAACTTTAAAAAAAAAATTTGTTATTTTTTCTTATGAAATGGTAGAGAATCTTTTTCTGAAGGTAATAAAACAAAAAATACGAAATTTGATGGAAATTTGACGAAATTATGCTCTTGCGAATTTTGATGTGTCGGCGAATATTTACGCATCAGCAATTTTGGCAACTGTGACTCCCACTTTAGGAAAATTACGTTATTCCAGTCAACGAAATTCTTAGCTATTTCACTAGTATTCCTTCTATTCTATCGATTGAGCACAAGAAATCGCCAAGTCAACTGTTTCAACTACAAAATAAAGTGATCGGAAATTGGTAATTTGGCCAATTTAACGCAAAGTTCAAAATATTCCAATTTCAAAATAGGGTCCAGAATAAACAATGCAAGCATTCCTGGCACTAAACTAACATTAACTCTGTTCATTAGTTACGTGTTCAGGCTTTACAAATGAATTCCATTTTGATTTTTTATTCGCATAATGAATTTTTATTCAAACCAAAAAATAGAAGATTTACCGTTATGCAATATTGTAATAATTGTATAAATAATATCACCACATTTGTGAACGTATATTAGACCCACCAGCTGGCGTGTATTAGACGTGCAAGGTCATTTGTTTACTTTTGAACATCGGCAAAAATTTAACATTTCCGCTACTTTGAGCTCAGTATCCAGCCATTTCCACTAATAAAACCAATAAAAATCATCTCTATTTCTGTAATATATCTTCCATTCTATCAAATGAGACCAAGAAATCGCAAATACAACTATAAAAAACATAGGAAAAAACACTGCAAAGTTGCTGTTTTAATCGAAAATTACGGTCTGTTTTTTCTCTCTCATTATGCACTGTGTGCTGCAGGATTTGTTTTATGTGGTACACACATACCACATAGATGTATTCTCTCATATCTAGGCCCAAATTTACCACTCACATCTTATCAAAGTAAGCTGAGCTCATGGCGTAGATCTACGGTTTGGACCCTCAACTCAAAGCCGTAGAACTGTGGCACAGACCCTGAAAGGGTTAAAGGAGGGTTTTGAGATATTGGCTGTTTGTTGTGACATCCAAACTGTCGTATCTGAGCTCCTCTGCAAAGACAGTGATTATGTGTGAATGATGGTGATAGTGTTCAACGATGATGAAAGTTTTTTTGTTTTTGGGTCATCCTGCCTTGGTGGGAAATGGCCGAAGTGTTTAACCCTTTCGGGGTTTCGGCCGTACTAGTACGGCTTACGCGCAGGGGTTTTTGACGTACTAGTACGCATAAATTCTAGTGCTGTCAAATCTAGTGAGAGAAAGCTGGTAGGCCTACATATGAAAGAATGGGTCTATGTGGTCAGTGTGTGCAGTATAAAAAAAATCCTGCAGCACACAGTGCGTAATGAGAAAAAAAACTGTGACTGTTTTTTGGATTAAAACAGCGACTTTGCACTGTATTTTTGTGTGATATTTATTGTTGTATTCTAGTTTTCCTGGTCTCATTTTATAGAATGGAAGACATATTACAGAAATTGAGATGATTTTGACTGATTTTACAATGAAAATTACCTTGAAATTGAGCTCAAAGTAGCAGAAATGTTCGATTTTTACCAAAGATCAAAAGTAAACAAATGATGCCAAGCGTCCAATACACATCAACTGGTGAGTCTAATATTCTTTCACAAGTGTGCTGATATTATTTATACCATATCTACACTAATGTAGTAGTCTGCATAACAGTAAATCTTCTATTTTTTTGTGAGTATAAAAATTCAAAGTGGAAAGCAAAAGAATATAAGAGGGGCATGGGAACGTGACTAATGAACAGAGGAAATGTTATTTTAGTGCCAGGAATGTCTTTCTTGTTTATTTGGAAATTGGCATCTTTTGAAATTTGTGTGAAATTGGCAAAATTGCTAAATTCTGACCACTGTATTGGATAGTTGAAATTGGTAAATGGGTGGTTTCTTGTACTCATTCGATAGAAAAAATGGAGTTCTAGTGAAGTAGTTATGATTTTTGTCGACTAGTACACTGGAATTGGCCGAAAATAGGGCTCAAAGTGGGCAAAATTGCAAATGCGTAAACATCGTCGAGACCGCTAATTCGCGAGAGCATATTTCCGTTAGTTTTCCATCAAATTTCATACCTTTGGTGTCCTTATGATCGGGAAAAGATTCTCTGTCTTTTCATAAGAAATTTTTTTTTTTTTTTTTTTTTTTGAAATTTGGCCGACCCTGAGAACAAGTCTCTGAGAGGATCTGCCCGACCCCCCAAAGGGTTAAAAACAAAAATTCCCATATGGATCTTCAACATTCTAACCAACAGAACACACACAGTAATGGTAAACCGAGTTAAGTCGGAGGTGCCAAAGTGAAAGCTCTGTTCCACAAGGTACAGTACTCGCCCCCATCCTGTTCCTCATCATCCTGGGGCACTTTAAAGACTGCAGTACAGGTAGGGCTTATTCTCCTTGGTGTTGCTTCACAGGTCTTGCTTCATAAGTGTGCCTGCCTCTCCTTATCTGGAAAGCTGCCGGGCTGGCTGGGAGTGTGCTGCCGAGGCCGCCTACCTGCATGCTTGCAGCCGCCACTACCATACTCTTCACCCCAATCTTACCTGTAGTAAGTGGCTGACATTTCCACACAAAAAACAGTCATTTATATTTTTACACATCGTCTTGTTTCTAGATGTGCCAAGCTATAATTCTATCATACCAATCTCTATCACTGATGTCAGCTTCTAATGTTTCTTGCTACTGTGTTATTGTTACAATGTTTTTCTCATTATTTTTAGCTATTGAGTTTCTGGCTGTTATATCAAATTACTGTTTGCAATATGTAACTCTACCACTATTACTGATCACATTTATCTTGTCTTAGCAACATGCTCCATAGAGGGACATGAAGAACAGGAAGAGGAAGGGACTGTGGGTCTGACACATGAAGTAGTTGTGATCACAGACTTCGAGTGCTTTGATGACCTACAGGACCTTGTTTCTGCCTTTGTCAAGGACTACACCAGGTGAATCTCAGATTGATCTTTGAAGTGATACACACACACACTTACACATGCATTCTTACCACAAACTCAAATAGGTAGTAATTACTGTCCATACTTTAAGAAAAAAAGCATGAAGATGAATTACAAAATGGTTCTCAGAACTAAGCATGTGGGTTATAAAGAAAAGCTGAAAGCAGTAGCCATGCCTTCATTAGCTGACAACCACAAAAGAAGAGGAAGTTTTCCTAGCAGATCAACAAGGGGAGAAGAGACTTGTAGTAAATCAAAATGAAAATGTTTATTTTTATGAAGATATGTATTTTGGTAGATAATATTTTCTTTTACAATGACAGTTTACATGGTAAAGCCCCCAGTTATGCAGTCCATTTTAGGCAAATTAATATTAATTTATGGCTAACTTAAAATTAAGATTAAGCTAAATTAAAATTACATCTAGCCAGCCTATTGGGAAGCTAGCTAATCTCTCGATGCCATGTTACACAATGTTAGATGACTAGTGAGAACACAAGGCATGCCTACCCTAATGCTGGGCACATACAAGGGAGTGATAAGCTCAGGAACTAATTTCATTCTCTTCCCATTTCAGATACACAAAAACATCCCTAATCTTTTATAACATGTCATTCTTGTCAGGCCTTGTTTTGTCTGAGAAATAGAATAAGTAACAGTAGACCCTTTGATTGAACTTTGTATAGAAAGGGGTTTGGTTATAGTTAATACATATTTTAAGAAAAAGAGGATAAATAAGGGCACAAGATATGATGTAGGGTGTAATGACAGTAGTTTGTTGGACTACGTATTGGTAGATAAAAGAATAAATGACTGTTCGATAGACTTGAGGATGTACATGTTTATAGAAGGGCCACGGATATATCAGATCACTTTTGTAATTGTAGCTACAGTGAGAGTAAAAGGTAGATGGGATACAAGGAAAATAGAAGCAGCAAGTAAGAGATAGGTGAAGGTTTATAAACTAAAGGGTAAGATATAAACAACTGTTGGAGGATAGATGGGCTAGTGAGAGTATAGGCAATGGTGTTGAAGGTGTATGGGGTAGGTTTAAGAATATAGTGTTAGAGTGCTCAGCAGAAGTTTGTGGTTACAAGAAAGTGGGTGAGGGAGGGAAGAAGAGCGATTGGTGGAATGATGTTAAGAGAGTAATAAGAGAGAAAAAGTTAGCATATGAGAGGTTTTTACAGAGTAAAAGTAATGCAAAGAGGGAGGAGTATATGGAGAGAAAAAAAGAGGTTAAGAGAGTAGAGAAGCAATGTAAAAAGAGAGCAGATGAGAGAGTGGGTGAGATGTTATCAATAAATTTTGTTGAAAATAAGAAAAAGTTTTGGAGTGAGATTAATAACTTGAGGCCTAGGGAATGAATAGATTTGATAGTTAAAAGTAGAAGAGAGTTATTAAATGGAGAGAGAGAGGTATCAGGAAGATGGAGAGAATATTTTGAAGAATTGTTAAATGTTGATGAAGATAGGGAAGCTATGATTTCGTGTATACAGAAAGGAGGAATAACATCTTTTAGGAGTGAGGAAGAGTCATTTGTGAGTGTGGGGGAAGTTCATAAGGTAGTGGGTAGAAAGAAATGGGGTAAAGCAGCTGGAACTGATGGGATCATGACAGAAATGTTAAAAGCAGGGCGAAATATAGTGTTGGAGTGGTTAGTATGAAAGAGGGGAAGGTACCAAGGGATTGGCAGAGAACATGTATAATTCCTCTATATAAAGGGAAGGGGGACAAAAGAGATTGTAAAAATTATAGGGAAATAAGTTTACTGAATATACCAGGTAAAGTGTATATTAGGGTTATTATTGAAAGAATTTGAGGTAAGACAGAGAGCAGAACTGCAGATGAGCAAGGAGGCTTTAGAATGGTAGGGGATGTGTAGATCAGGGGTTTATATTCAAGCATATATGTGAAAAGTATTTAGATAAAGGTAGGGAAGTTTTCATTGCATTTATGGATTTAGAAAAGGCATATGATACAGTGGATAGGGGAGCAATGTGGCAGATGTTGCAAGTGTATGGAATAGGTGGTAAGTTACTAAATGCTGTAAAGAGTTTATATGAGGATAGTGAGGATTACTTCCCAGTAAAAGTAGGTCCTAGACAAGGATGTGTAATGTCACCATGGTTGTTTAACATATTTATAGATGGGCTTGTAGAAGAAGTAAATGCTAGGGTGTTGGGGAGAGGAGTGGGATTAAATTATGGGAAATCAAATACAAAATGGGAGTTGACACAGTTACTTTTTGCTGATGATACTGTGATTTTGGAGGATTCTAAAAAAAAGTTGCAAAGGTTAGTGGACGAGTTTGGGAGGGTGTGTAAAGGTAGAAAGTTGAAGGTGAACATAGATAAGAGTAAGGTGATGAGGGTATCAAATGAGTTAGATAAAGAAAAATTGGATATCACATTGGAGGGAGGGAGTATGGAAGAAGTGAATGTTTTCAGATATTTGGGAGCTGACTTGTCAGTGGATGGGTTTATGAAGGATGAAGGAAAAAAGGTGAGTAGTGCATTGAGATATCTGTGGAGACAATGTTATCCATGGAGGCAAAGAAGGGAATGTGGAGTGTGCAGTGGAGATGTTGTGTCTAAGGGCAATGTGTGGTGTAAATATTATGCAGAGAATTCGTAGTGTGGAAATTAGGAGGAGGTGTGGCGTTACTTAAAGTATTAGTCAGAGGGCTGAAGAGGGTCTGTTGAGGTGGTTTGATTATTTAGAGAGAATAGAACAATTATTATTAAAATGAAAGAAAGTGCTAAACCAACAAGGGAGAATGGAACAAAGTAGAATGACTTGGAGAGCATATAAATCTATTGAGGAAGGAAGACGGGGTAGGGGTCATCCCTGAAAAGGTTGGAGGGAGGGGGGGTAAAGGAGGTTTTGTGTGCGAGGGGGCTTGGACTTCCAGCAAGGGTGCGTGTGTTAGGAGTGAATGGAGACGAATAGTTTTTGGGACTTGACGAGCTGTTTGAGTGTGAGCAGGATAATATTTTGTGAAGGGATTCAAGGAAACCGGTTAACTGAACTTGAGTCCTGGAAATGGGAAGTACAATGAGGGGTTTAGGATATTGGCAGTTGAAGGGACATCTAAACTGTCATACCTGAGCGCCTCTACAAAGACAGTGATTATGTATGAGTGATGGTGAAAGTGTTGAATGGTGATGAAAGTTTTTTCTTTTAGGGTTTTCTTTGTTTTTGGGTCACCCTGCCTTGGTGGGAAATGGCCAACATGTTAAAAAAAAAAAAAAAGTCTGTTGAGTATACCTGGTAAAGTGTATGGTAGAGTTATTATTGAAAAAAATTAATGGTGAGACCAAGCATTTACACTGAAAACATATAGGTGAACAGTATATAGGTAAGGGTAAAGAGGTTTTTGTGGCATTTATGGATTTGGAAAAGGGGTATGACAGGGTGGATATGGGGGCAGTGTGGCAGATATTGCTAATGTATGGAATAGGAAGTAGGTTACTGAAAGCAGTGAAGAGTTTTTATGAGGATAGTGAGGCTCAGGTTAGAGTATGTAGGAGAGAGGGAGATTATTTCCCAATAAAAGTAGGCCTTAGACAAGGATGTGTGATGTCACCATGGTTGTTCAATATATTTATAGATGGGGTTGTAAGAGAAGTGAATGTGTGGGTGTTGGCAAGAGGTGTGGGGTTAAAAGATAAAGAATCAAACACAAAGTGGGAGTTGTCACAGTTGCTCTTTACTGATGACACCGTGCTTTTGGGAGATTCTGAAGAGAAGTTACAGAGGTTGGTGGATGAGTTTGGTAGGGTGTATAAAAGAAGAAAATTAAAAGTGAATACAATGGTACCACGAGTTACGAACTTAATTCATTCCAGAAGGCTGGTCGAGTGCCCATACCGAACAAATTTGTTCCCATAAAGAATAATGTAAATTAGATTAGTCCGTTTCAGACCCACAAAAATACACTTACATAATTGTTCAAGTCGAGAGCTGTTCAAAACTCGAGGTACCACTGTATAGGAAAGTGTAAGGTGATGAGGATAACAAAAAATTAGGTGATGAAAGATTGGATCAGATTGGAGGGGGAGAGAGTATGAAGGTGAATGTATTCAGATATTTAGGAGTGGATGTGTCAACAGATGGGTCTATGAAAAATAAGGTGAATCATAGAATTGATGAGGGAAAAAGGTGAGTGGTGCACTTAGTCTATGGAGACAAAGAACTTTGTCCATGGAAGCAAAGAGGGGAATGTATGAGAGTATAGTTATACCAACACTCTTATATGGGTGTAAAACATGGGTGGTGAATGTTGTAACAAGCAGGAGGCTGGAGGCAGTGGAGATGTCATGTTTGACAGCAATGTGTGGTGTGAATATTATGCAGAAAATTTGTAGTTTGGAAATTAGGAGGTGGTGTGGGATTACCAAAACTATTATCCAGAGGGCTGAGGAGGGGTTGTTGAGGTGGTTCAGACATGTAGAAAGGATGGAACAAAATTGAAGGACTTAGAGAGTGTATAAATCTGTAGTGGAGGGAAGGTGGGGTAGGGGTTGGCCTAGGAAAGGTTGGAGGGAGGGGGTAAAGGAGGTTTTGCGTGTGAGGGGTTTGGACTTTGAGCAAGCATATGTGAGTGTGTTAGGAGTGAATGGAGACAAATAGTTTGTAGGACTTAACATGCTGTTGGAGTGTGAAGGGATTCAGGAAAACAGGCAGGCCGACTTGAGTCCTGGAGATGGGAGGTACAGTGTCTGCACTCTGAAGGAGGGGTGTTAATGTTGCAGTTTTATAACTGTAGTGTAAGCGTGCCCCTGGCAAGACAGTGATGGAGTGATGAAAGCATATCTTTTTCAGGCCATCCTGCCTTGGTGGGAGATGGCCGATGTGTTAATAAAAATAAAAAAAAAATGTTGCATTATACGTGGTCGATATTGATGAGATTATTTGATTAACCAGACTCAGTCAGACCAGCGATTTGGAGGAACCTTGATAGGTCATGTTCATTTATTTCGTACCCTTGACCTGTGTCTGACCGTT